AACTTTTAATATAAGTCAATGCAAGTGAATACTAGATAAGTGTCTAAAAGGATTGCCTACGAAATCCACTGTTGCTTGGAAAGAAGTGTGCAGATGGAAAAAGTTTATGTATCATCAAAAATAAAGGAAGGAGTGAATGAATAAATGGCTTTTGAATATGGGATGCTATTTTTTTTTATTACAAAACATCTTTATAAGATATGTAAATGATCAGTATTTGCACTTTAAATATAAACCATAGTCCACATAATTTTCTGGGCCTTTTTAGTTCAGCAGCTATCACAAAGAATGATCTCTAAAGATTATGAACCGATCATAAATCAGAATAATAAATGTTATTATAAAATACCATTTTCACTTAGTAACTTTTTGTATATGTTTTATGTTTTTAACTTAATTAAGAGAAAGGGCTACAATAAAAAATTTGATGTTGTGAAGGTTTTGTATGACCAACCCCATTACTATAAATTAATGTGTATCTATTGTTATTCTTTGTTTGTGCCTTTGTCAAACAATCTCTAAGTAGAGATTTTACCTTCTACACAGAAAGTAAAATGTAACGCAATTTTAAAGAAGCACCACCAAACCCAATATAAATTCTGCAAATAAATGTTGATTTATATTTTCCCACTGTACCTGAATGCAGCACAGCGCAGCGCACTGGCTCCTCCTCTCATCAGCAGCAGTAACAATGGCTCCTGGTCATTTACGGAAACCGGACCGGGAACGATGCTTTAAAACCTACGGAGTAGTAATGTTATTACTTATGGATATAGTCGTACAAGGTGTGAACGGTATGTCGGACTTTCGCGTCCTAAAACGAACTGGATGTCGCATATTCTGGGGAGTAATGTCACTGTTGTTAGCTTGCTCTAGCTAGCTAACGCTTTCTCTCTTGCTTTTGAACTATTCTCTCCAAACGTATCAATGAAAGTGTCATCTTGCGCATTTTGTAACTCCCCTGTACGGCGGAAACCTAAGAATATTACTATCTTAATAATTATGTCACTCCACACAAACCTCGCGTTTGGAGACCCATGTGTCAATTTGGAGCATTTCGTGAATCACAAATTGCATTTTCCGTTTCCCTGTCAGGTTATCTGAGATCTTCACATGTTGGTCCAGAGCCTCCTTACACCAGGGACACTCAGCACGGTCCGATCAAAACCAGTCCCGTGGTGCCTGCTGCTGCATCAGGTAATGTCATGTTATTGAAAACTAAGTGCGTTGCTCATCCATAGTCACAATGTAGCGTTAATGTCTTCATAGTATTGCTGTGGTTGCATCTTGCAGTGTCACCTTCAGAAGAAGAAAACTACATTGCCAAATGTCCAAGTGGTGGTCTATGTAGTCTGCTGCCAGCTGATTGTATAAGCTGTAATTATCAACACAACTGCACTTATGGGAAACCAGTCTCATTCCAATGCAGACCTAAAAAAGGTGTCCACTGTATTGTGAGTACATGTGTATTAATTAATTTCATCCATCCCTCACAAAGTATTGCATAAGACTATTATAGACTATAAAATGACAAATTAAACAAAATTGGGATGGAGTAGTCGTCATATATTCTCTTTGTTGCGCTCTTACAGGGAGAGACTGGGCAGCAGCAAACCAACTTCTCTCTATCCATCACCTGTCAGTTCTGTTGGCAGCTTGACCCATTGCTTTACCGCTGCTCTAACTCAACCAACTGTATGACTGTGTCTTGCCCAAGGAAACGCTACAACGCCACCTGCAATGTTTTGGAACATGTACATTGTTTAGGTAAAGTAGAAGATTAAAGAAACTGTAGTAAAGTGTCCGTACTCCTGTCAGCATTTTAGTGTTTTTCAACACGTGCTGTATACATTTAACATATTTCTACTTTATTGCTTATGTAGGTAAAAGACATTTTCAGAAACGGTTATTTTGTAACTGGACAGGAGGATACAAATGGTCAACTGCACTCGCTCTGAGGTATTGTACTGGATGCAAAATTAAAATAATGGTTACTGTTATGGCATTGCAACATCAATATATTTTTCTGTGATCTATTTTTGCAGCATTACGCTTGGAGGATTTGGGGCAGATCGTTTTTATCTGGGCCAGTGGAGAGAGGGTTTGGGCAAACTGTTTAGCTTTGGAGGCCTGGGCATTTGGACATTAATAGATGTTCTTCTGATTGGTGTTGGTTATGTGGGACCGGCTGATGGTTCCCTGTATATCTGAAACATGGTTAGATGTTCTGACCCTTTTTCCTCTGGTGGCTTCACCATATTCAAGACTTAAGATGCTGTGATCTTAGCACGTTTGCCTGCCCAAGCTTGCTGTGCAACACGTCCTCATCCCATCTGCTGTCAGGCAGGAAGTGTTTAGCTCTTCGCATCAACGATAACTCTACCCACACAAGCATCAGATCAAGCTCCATCTCTGCGTCTACCTTGTGGTGTCATGCTGTTGTCGATGGAGTTGTGCAGGAAGACAACGAAGAGACATTTATGTGTGTCTGTCTGGTAGATTGGACTCATACTGCGATATTGGTTTGGTTTCCTGTGGCGCAGAGCTCTGGGAGATTAGTTTGCACCTCAGAGCCAAGGGTTTTCCTTATTTATAAGTAAATGTATCAGAGGAGGGAGGAGGGTCAAGTGGTATCCATGGATACCAAGAGGTTGGTTGTTTATACCCAATGCAGTGAAAAAGTACCTCTTTTTTTGTCCCAAAAGATGCATTAAGGTCAACTATCTTTAATGATTGGAAGGCAGTTTTGTACTATTATTTTGATTTGAGGCATAAATGCATCTCTGTTCATTGTCTAAATTGTATATTTTTAAATTATTTAAATAAAAAAAAAAATAGAGTATTATTTCTACATATTCCCGGATTACACACAAATAAAGCTATTGTAATTAAAATTCACTTCATTAAGATTAAGAGCACCACAGTGGTGTATTAATGTGTACATCGAATATCTCCGTTAATGGTGCTAGTATTACTACAGAGTCTTAGCTAGTGCTTATTAGCTGAGGTCATTTTCACAGTTGTTTGTGTGTTTTCACACACAACAGTCCTGTTGCCAGGACTCTCTTCTGCTGGCATGGGGCATGAAGGAATTGACAAAAAGCTGGAAAAGAACCTTATTACCCATATAACAATGAATAATTTATGAGTTGTCAATGCTTACATTTGTAGTCAATGGTGTAGCACAAATATCTGGGCACTTTGCACTGTTCCTCTTCTCAGTCATTTTATCTGCCACATTTCCAAACAATTGCGTTTAGGCTTTAGAACAAAGATGACACAGACTAAGCTTAAATTTTTGGAGGGCAAAGATTAAAGCAATTAGGCCAACTGCTCTTCTTTATATGTGGCTCATAAATTTTTGTGTAGGCAAATGAGAAGTACACAGACCTGTTTCTATAATAGGGCAGCCCTGTCTAATAAACACACTACAATAAACATATCTTATATAACATAAAATGGTAACAAGCTAAATGACTGAATCTTTTATTCACACATTATCAGATATTATAGATAATAGCCCTTTCTTTAACCTTTTTGAAGTTACAATGATAGCATTCTAAATGGTAAAAATAATGATCCAATTTTGTTACCTTGACTCAGATCATTCAAATGACAAAAATCAGCTGTAATTTAGAGTTGAGCTGATTATTGTCTATAAAAGACAGACAGTATCACGGCTGCCTGCTTTTGAACAGCTCATTATAGTGAGAACAAAAGTTTATTCACACCAAGCTTTCACAGTCCAATTTGGTTATATCAAAGTTGTACATTTCAAAGCACAGGTTGTAGTCCTCTGAATTTCACCTATGTCTATTACTCCCCCTTTTCTATCACATTTGGATGGTTGCTAAGGAGCACCTGAGGTAGAGCCATAATTGCAGTGTCTATAAAAACAGTTTGGCACACTAGGATACAGAGTGTGTTGAAAACCAACCAAACCAGATAGTACGCAGCACAATTTAGATTTCCCCATCAATTATAAAGAACACTGCCACAAACACACAAAATATACATACCAAAAGAAAATTAAAAAGCGATTGGTAAAAGAGCTTTACATATACCTTGTTTGACAGGAAATTTGATGGTTTTTCGTTAATAGCGAATACTAGTATAACTGTGCACATATAAAGAACTCTATTGGAGTGTGCAAAGTCCATTACTAGACCACCTACTCCAGGCCTTCTTAAAACTTAACATGCATGTACCAGAGAGTATTGACAGAAAATCTATCTGTGACCCTATGACACTATGAAAAAGCAACAGGACATAACAACTGAGAGGGAACAAATTGCACACACCAGATGCTACTGTCTGAAATCTGAACTAGAAATCATGGGTACAGAATCACACAAAAGGTGAATGTTTCCCTTCTCAGTCTGCTTTGGCCAGACATGAAACGAGAGCTTTTGCCCATTATCAAAACTCTTATGCGTGATACCAGCCAGAATCTGACACAAATGCACAAACGCAGGGAGAGTGCAAGTGTTGATGCCATTTTTGCAAAACACAAGCTGTTTTCAAAGGCTTGTGAATAGAATAGAAGTGGCTTTGAGAGAAAATATTGGTTGTATTGTGTCAGAAGAGGCTTTTAAGTAGCACTGTCCAAAGCACCATAAAAATGTCCTGCAAAACATTTGTGACAGCAATTTCAACTGTCTGTCAATAGTGACCAATAGTGCTCTGTGGCCTATTGTTTCTGTAAGGTTCTGCCATCCTATAGATTAGATTATTTTATGTTTCTAGTGGTTATAGAAACAAAGCATTGCATAAACCAATATAATGTGTAACTCATTTTACCATATTGATATCATTTCCAGAGGTGGCCAAATCATGGTTGTTCATCCATCTGTGCCATTCATTTTACAGTGTGCCAACAATACTCTCCTCATTTAGAAGCAGCTACAGTGTTGGCCAGATGACAATTTATTAAGCTCTCAGAAACATATATACAGTAAAATACTGTTTCTAATTTTAAAGATATTATCAAAAAACAGACATTTGCAATTTTAGTGATTTATTTGTACAATAGATTTTGCACTGTACAAAGACCTCAGCTCTTATACAAAGATAAGAACAAAAGAGCATCTATAGTTCTTTTCCCTATAATCCCTCATATCATACCGTGAGCTTAAACTGTGACTCTTAAAATAAATCTAAAACAAAATAAATAGTAGCTACCTGCCCAGCAAATGCTTAATTTTAGGGCTAGACATTTCAGCAATGTGTTAATGAATCATAAGCATTCTAACATAAAAGAAAGAAAAGTTTAATAAAAATGGCAAATTGTACCTGTTCGATGTCAAGAGTAGAGGAGCAAATATGACCTCTGTATAACGGCATGGAGAAATTAAACTCACAGTAGACACAAACAGAAAAGGCAAATGGTGACATTGCATGTTCGCATGCCTATGCCATAAATACACCATCCACAGACAACGTTGTGAGCTTATTACACATCCAAACTTTATGATAGGACACATAATGAAAAACAAAATGGGGATTACACAATTTAATGTCATGGCTTTTTTTTCTTTTCTTCTAAAGCAATATTATCTATGAATACATTCACTCATGTCCCCTCAAAAAATCCAAATATTATCAAATTAACTGAAGATGTTGTATAAAAATATAACAAAGACTGAAAACTCAAAACAAAAATATATCTACACAGTCTCAAATGCTGCTTAGGGCTGACCGACCCAACATGAAAATTGCAAGTTCAATGTAACCTTTTCTCATTTATGTGAGTGAAGGCTGCAAAAGACTCAAATCAAGTCTGAGTAGCAGCAGTCTTTCCTCTCTCTGCAATTGTAACACAGTGAAAGCCACGAGTTCCATCTGGGCCCCTGGGTAGTCTCATTACACCGGGTGGTAGACCATCAGCGTTCTGAATCTTTCTGCCCAGCATAGGGCTCCCTACTGGGCTGCTCTCTTGAGATGCCACCTGCTTTCGACGCTGAACCCAGGGGCTTCCTGAAGGCGTGAGGCTACTGTCTGAGGAGTAGTCTGCCCACCGACGGCCAACCTCCGGGCTAAGACGGCCCTCACTGGCCAAGGGGGATTTGTGTGAGGGTGGGGCCTTGCGCTGAGAGCATGGGCTAGCTCGAGGACTAGACCAGGGGCTGTTGCGTGGGGACATTCCAGGGCTCAGGTGATTGTTTTGGAAGCTGATGCCTGCTGTTGTGGGGCTGAGCTTGTTGCAGGACAGGGACTTTCTGGCTAGCCTTGGTGACGTTGGATTACTCTCAGTTTCTGATGAGCTGCAGGCTGAATCGTCTCCATGGTACTGAAGCTCTCGAACTCTGCTGTTGAGAGAGCGACTTTTGCGTATCCCTCCTTCCTCTCTTGGCCGCTCTTTTGGTACTTTTTTCTTTGGTGGTTTGGTGCCAATGAGAACCACTTTTAACCCAAGTGAACTAGACCCTCCGTCCTCACTCCCCACTGCTTCATTAGCTTTGACAGCAGCCTCCACTTCCTCAAATTCAACAATGGCACATTCCTCAGTGCCAAGCTGAGTGTAGCGACCACTTAGCCTCTTCAGATCGGCAGGCAGGTCTTTTCCAGGTTTCAGGACCCTGACAGAGGCTATGGCACCATATGTTCCAAAAGCTTTAAGCAGCAGCTTCATCAGCTGCTCCTGCTGTGGCACCTCCCTCACTGCCCCCGTTTTCCTTTGTCAGTGCAGCCAGTTCTGGCCACCTCTGCAAATCACTTAACAGTAGCATGCGGCTTGGCAAAGACTCACTAGCAAAGACAGGGACGGCAGACTTGCGTCGCACTTTTCGTCCCTCATCATTTAACTCCAATATGTTGGAATGTCTCAGAGCATAGGCAGTGGTTCTCCAGTCACGAGTCAAGTGCTTTACCTGAAACACAGACCACAGTCAAATTGTAAAAGGCCTAATTTATGCAACACTTCAATTATTATGCATTTACTTTCGCAAAACATGCATTGGTGATCTGTACAATCAAAATGTATCTGTCATGTTAATATTTATTAATAAATAAATCATAAATATGTCTGCCAATGCATGTAAAAATATTTACACTGGAAAATGCACTTTTGTTGTTGTCCTTACAATTTGTTAGTTCTTATTACATCTAAAGCTTTTGTCCTCACGAGCACTCATGCCTGTGTATTATGTTCCATCCAGCTCTATAGAAATTAGTTACCTTTTTAAAAGAGGTGAGCAACTTGACACTGACAAATCCCAGTTTGTTACGTCGCACATGTTTTAGCAGAAAGGCATCATGTTCCAGGTTCTCATCGGACAGGTAATACTCAATCTGAGAAACCAACTTGTTGATGAGTTCTGGATCTGGGGGCTGCCAACTTTCCTCCTCCAGTTCACCTCCGCTGGTCCCTGCTCCACTGTGTGGGAAGACAATAGCAACAGTTAGAGCAGAGCAAATTCTAGTACTCCACGCAGTGTACTTCTGTAAAATCATGAGCCAGTGATGAAACACTCAAATGCAGAACATGGCAAGAATTATTTAAACGTTGTTGTTATAGCTGCTCGATCAAAAAGAATTTTAAAACCAATCAAGAAAATACCAACTCTCCTTCACACTGATAATATGGTGGCTATAATACTAACAAAAACATTAACCCTTTTACCTTGTGAATTATGCACAGAGACACCTGTGTGAAGGTATAAAGCATAACAGTCAAGTTGTAGCAGATTAGAGAGTGGGTCTGAATGAAATGTTGTGGATGACTCATCACACCCCCACCCCAAACACTCATACACCCACAGTCAACTGCTGCACTACTGGCACAAACCTCCTCGGGACATCAGGTGGAGCCATTCAATGTCATGGATGTGCATGGGATGAAAAAAGGAATGGACCAAAGAGAGATGGGAGCAGTCAAGTAGACCTAAATAAGACGTAAGCTAAATGGTAATTAAGTTTTCGTCAAATCAGATGGCACACTTTAAACATCGTATTATAGGCTATGTGTCGCAAACACAAGTCACAGAAGACTTTGCTTACGTAGCTTATTTCCTTTGCCTGTAGACTTCCTGTGTGCCGTCTAAAGGCTCCACATCTAGCTCCATATTTTGCAAGAGCGTGACCAGGTGCTTTATAGGCTTCTTATGCCAAAATAAGCTTTAAGTATGACCTACATATGAACTAAAATGTTGTCTATATTATATTGCCCATATACAAGGAATACAAGGAACGGCAGGCCTAATTTATTTTCCCATTTGGCCTTTCAATCACTGAGTCACTCTTTGCGCACGTAGACTGGGCAGGAACTTTGCCTATAGGCCACGGGTTAAAAATAGCAGCCCTGACGTAGGGAATTAGATTAAAAAGAAGGTGCAATCCTTTATCTGTCTCAGGTGTCTGGGGTGCTGCTTGCTACAGGTGGCCCCACTGTCCACAGGAGATCGAACAAGTGAGGGCAGTAACCTGTGGGGCAAACTTCTTTTTTTTTTTTTTTTTTGTTTTGTTTACATTTAGCCTTTACGTTTACCAGTGAAAGACTACCTTCTCATTGGTACAGTAAGTTTGTGCCAAACGCCTGCTACAGCAGAGGAAATGATGCAATGATGGATATCTTGCCAACATATTTTTCACGAGCAAACTTTACGCATCACGTCCAAGAATGTATTAAGTGAGTCAACTCACACTTTCACGAGCAAATGAAAGAAATAAGGTGGCTTATACTCAGACCTTGATTTGTCATGCCGTCCCATTTCGTCTTCACTACAGCTGCCCCCGAGGATGTCAATATTACTGGATGACAACTCCTCCGGCTCCTCGTCCTCCGCAGCTTGAATGGCCACAGTTATCGTCACGGTCCCCATCTCTTGCGAGAGCTTATCCACTGTGATTACCTCATCGACTCCGTCTGAAATACACTTCGATGTCTTCATCTTGTGGATGCCCACGGAGCCACTCATGTTCTCGGAGTAAGATAAGGTGCTTTCGGTGATCTCCTTCGCTCTTCGGCGTGTGACAGCAGTGTCGCCCTGAAAGCCTAGCGTCTTGTCAGAGTCGATAGAACGCACGGGATACGGGGCGCGATGCTTCTTCTGGCACCAGCGATGGCGGAGGAAGATCCAGGGTCCTCGGAAGACGCGCTCCACGGCTCGCCACAGACCCCTGATCCAGATCCGACCCGATGTAGGGCTCTGAGGAACAGTGGGGCTTGTAGCAGCCGGCGAGACACAGCCTTGACCTAGTATGAGCGACGGTGGTGGACTAGAGCCTCCGTGTGCTTCTACTGCCACCGCCGCCACTGCCTCTGCTGCTTTTACTTCCTCATATGTAAGAGGCTTTCTGCTTTTGAAACGAGCGTCGGGATTGGTCTTCTCGCATGCATTCCCAACCCACAAGCAAGAGCTGACAGAAAGCCAAGAGGGAGGCAAAAGGAAGGAGAGGCAGCGCAAAAAGACATTCACCAAGGCGTGCATTTTTGTTTGTTTTACGCACACACACAATCCATTTCCCATGAAGGCACGGGTGGCCTGTTTCAGAGGTCTAAGTGGGCAACCAATTGCACGTGTTCCTCTTTAATTTCATTGTGCCTAGGGCGACCCCTTCTCTAACAGCTAATTGGATAACCCTGGAACGTTGGGGAAGGAGGTAGTGCTAGAGGAAGTAGGAATAATAATAATAATAAAAAAAGTCAGTCAATGTTAGTACTCTAGACTAACGTTGGCAAACTATTATAACTATAAACCAGAAAATGTGAATATTGTTTTGGCTTAACTGTAGGCTATTTGACCTCTTATAGGCCTAGTTCTGTCCAGACTGGATGTGAGGGTCTGCTCACACAATGCAGGAATATGAATTGAGACATAAGGAAACAAAATAGCATATAAAAAAGAGAAATAAGAGAGAAAAGAGAACTAAATAAAATAACTCATTGTTTTTAATGATCTTGTTTGAAGTCATCATTTCACTCCTCCTTTTCTTCTCCCTTCTTCCATGCTCTTCCTCTCAAAAACTTCAAGACTGAATTGTAACTACTATGTTCATCCCATTGTCTGACTTAATGGATGAACAATTATCTTTATGTTCCTACCCCCTATAAGTCTGGCTTTGATAAGGTGTTTTGGAGAGGAAGATATTGTGTCCAGCTTTGTCTGACCAGTAATCTTTGTCTTAGGTGAGGTTTTAGTCTGGTAGTGATGAGTTTATAATTTGCCATGATTTGAATCCCCAAAAAGAGACTGAATTGTGCATATTGACATTCTAGCACATGATGTTTACTATTTAGTTATGATGTAGAAGAAAAAGATAGGATGTGAATTATTTTCCATTTTTCAGTCTCAATTAGGCTAATGAACAGATGTCAAATATTCCTAGGGTAGCTTGTGTTTTAAGTCCATAAATGCAAGTTTTATTCAGAAAGCCATTTGAAACCTCTTAACAATGTTTGCTACAATATTAGGCTTATTTTAGCCACTAATTTCACATTTTGATACATGACTGTACAGCCACACAATAATCAGTCTCCAGTCCAGTAGGTATCATAACCTGAATGTGCATTTATGTTGTACATTCATTTTGCTATTGGCCTTGATCCCATACCACTCTGCAAATCACGCCTTGCATTTTTGTTGCCTATTGTCCGCCTGGTATGAAATATCTTTACTCCGCCCCTCTGACAAGCTGGCCTCACAGCTGGTGGTGGTCTGTGACTCACTCCCTGCACCACATGCCATGCAGCGCTCCTGTTTGTGTACAATGCGACATGGGGAGAGCAAATAAATGAGGATCAGTTATGAGAACAACAAGGGCATTTGTAATAATTCACTTCTTTATTTATTTTTTAAATTATTTTTTTAGTAATAGTTGGTGGGAATTATTATTATTATTATTATTATTATTACTATCCAATTAATTATTTTCACTTATTTATGCATTTTATACATTATGCAACCTTGTGTGTGTGTGTGTGTGTGTGTGTGTGTATTTAAAGATATTAGTTTGACTTCAGCCATTTATTTATTTTTATTTTTTTTAAACTGTTTGCCCTAATGCTTAATGCTTAGTGGTCTTCTTCATCCACAGTTTGCTTGTTTTAAAGTATAACAGATTTTATTTTGTTGTTGTTTTTGTTGTTGTTTGTGCCACTGGCATCTTTCTGTGTGGATGGGACCAGTGTCAGTTGTCTAACTAGGTTGACAAATTGTACAACCATTAGTTCAGTGTCTAACTTTCATGGACTGTGCTCTTTTATTTATATACAAGTCTTGCAGTTACATCTAGGCTATGCTACAAAAATTCACTCTGTATAAAAGACAACATGACTTTGTATCTTTTGACATTTTCATTCTGATGCCACAAATTTAAAGATGTACCTTTTCTTGCAAACAAATATTTTGTTTGCCTCTCAACAGTATTTACTTGCTTTTCACCCTCTGGCTCGCCGATCCTCTCCACTTCTTCTATATTACGCAGAATGAACTCTTGTGAGCTTTAAGTCATAATGCTGCTCAAAAACATACCCAGAGCTGTAGTTTGTTTCATTTACACATGTTTAAGTAACTCTTTATTATTAGTCTGCTTACATCTTCAAAGTTCAAATGCTCTGTTCCACCTTGTAATGTCTTGTGATGAAGTGGTAGTTTTTAAGTTAACAGCTACCTTTCACCTTTTGTTTAGTAAAGACTGGCAACTCTGGATGTAGTTTGAAGTTTAAAAATACACTTCCTCTTTTTCCACATAACATCACAAGGGGGAAGACAGTGTTTTATGTTTAATAGAAGAACTCACCCTGAATATACAGCGCTTGTGTTACACATTTGTGAATGAAACTCCAGGTATATTTTTGATGAGGAAAGAACATTATATTGTAGATCAGAAAATACGGTAATATAAGCCCTTTAAAATAGCAGAGGACGTCACATTTTTCTGTCAAATAGGTTTATTGTATAAGGCTGGGGACAGCATCCTCTTCTGTACAGAATAATACAGTGAACTCATATGATTATCCAAGCTATAAGCAATACTTAGTAGTCAGCATGTAGTCTATAGCCTTTATTGTTTGGTATGGCCTGTCACACAAGCTCTCGATGAGCACATCCCATATGTGTCAGCTTGTGCTTCATGAATAGCTTGTGACAGGCAGTGTGTGGGATGTCCCTTTGAATCTGGACTTGTGTTCCCTCAGCAACTGCTCACAACGTGCTCAATATAAGAACACACTACACAAATTTCATGTGGTAGACCAATGAGTGTAGACCTATCTATGAGCATTTCGGCCAACATAGGCTAATAAGCTTATGTATGTATGTTACGTGTTATGTTTTTATTGTAAGACCTCTTGTGTTGTGTTATTATGTGTCTTACATCTATGCAAAATGTGGCTAAAGTGGGCTATTTTAAACACTCTAAAATAGATTACTATGTGACCCAATTACATGGCCCTACTTTTTATAGGCTACTAAAGGCCTAAATAAACTTGGCAAAACGGACTGCATACAATATATAATATGATAATAAAATATGTCACCTGCTATTTTTGGGAAGAGAGAGAGAGAGAGAGAGAGAGAGAGAGAGATACTTACTAATTAAACCATTATCAGGCTCGGAAGTGGCCCATAGAAATAGCCCACAAGTTAAGAAAACAAAACAAAAAACAACTGTTTCTTTGTTTCACACGGAGTATTTATGAAGTTGCACAAAAGTAGGCGTGGTCATCGTGTTGCCATGGCAGCGATGTTTGTAAAGTTACTTTTGCTCGAAATAATGAAAGCTACAGTGGTAGACATACAGTGTTGATTATGAATATTGATAGCTCCGGTTTATTGTATAGTTTAGGGTATTAGTAGCAGAATAATGAGAAGTGGATGCCATTAGCTGAAAGAAAAAGAAATGTATTTTAGTTTTACCTGTAGCCTAGTTTTGTGATAAAAATAATTTCTACGAAAAAAATTCTCGAAATGGAATCGAACCAGACTGAAGATATAACGATAAAACATTGTCCAAGTGTCAACGATAGGTGGCTGTTTCTTAGACCAATGGTAACATCCATTGCAACATCAACGCTCCTATTCAGCATGAACAATTTTATTATGCTTTAAACCAATCTTTTATATTTGAAGGTGTACAGTTGCAAACTGCATCGGACACTCAAGTCTCCAGCAGAGAGAATTCAGAGAACAGTGAGTACCTTGAACAGAATACAGATATGTGTTAATTCCATTAGGCTACATAACAGTTGTATACTATTATTACAGTCAGATTGTTCAACAAGAGAAGACCAAGTAACCTGCAATGACATACATTTGGTCTGTTCTTCTAATCAAAGTAGGTGGGACAGGAAATAAAATATGCAACATTCTCTCTAATTGCACAAAAATTTATAACATTTCGTATTCACGGTATCCCAACTCTTTTGTAGAAAAAAAGCTTTTCAGGTACACCTCTGACCAAGGACATCTTATCCCGCTCCCACCACAAAGAGGCTTTATAGAGTCTCAAGTATTAACAACATCACCAAGTAGCATAGAGACTGGCACAACTGTTACTCAAACAAACCACCAAAAGGCAAAGAGAACATATTCCCACCCCGTTAACACCTCAAAGCCCATAGGTAACTTCATGGGTAACTGCCTCAACGACAAACAGAATGTATTACAATTATTACTGAAACATTTTGTTTTATACAGGATTGCAGAAATCTCACCGGAGATCACACACTGGTTTTCAGTTCATCCAGCTCCACCGTGAAGCCTCTGCTGCAAATCCTCTTCGAATTGACTTGGACAGGTACTTGTTTTGGATCATTTTCATTATTTATGTCAACTATGCCAGAACAGAAGTACCCTATAACGCAGCTAGAGGGCAGCAAGGCATCTGTGTGTAGACTTCCTATAGCTTCATGTTAAATTCTTCTATCATGCCTTCAAAGGAGCGGTCTTGAAGAATGTCCCAATCTAGCCTTCATTGGTGAATTGCAACTTCTGAACCTTCAGCACAATTATATCAGGAGAATCCAACACTTATCTAAACTCCAACATCTTATTTTCTTAAATTTGTATGATAATCACATCACTGACATGGCTGGTCTTGAGTATTTAAACTCTCTAAGGATTCTTATGTTGGGAAAAAACAGGTTAGTCATGTTCTTAATTGATTATCATATTTTTTTGGTTTATACTTAAGGAAAATATTATTGTTCTTTTATTAAAGGATACAGAAAATAAAGTGCCTTGATCATTTGGTCAAACTGAATGTACTGGATTTACATGATAATCAGGTGAGTTACTGTTTTAATAAAATGTACGATTTTAAGTGGTGTTTATCACCTCAGGTGTAATATTGCATTGCGTTATTATCCATCCAATCCAGCTTGTATAACTCATTTTACCAACACAAGTCTCCAAAGTGCTGCAGAGTAGGTACAATATAAATTAATACATTCATTCATATTGTAAAAATTAACACAGTATAAACTGTGTTCATTTATATTAATAGCATAATAATATTAAGAACCTAACTGTTTTACTGTTTATGTGCTAGATT